AAACCAAAACACTGATCTGCCGCTTTAGATTTGTTTATTGTTACACCAACATATAAAAGGAATAAGCGAACTAAGGTCTGAAAACAAATATTACAATAATAAATCACAATATTACTTCTGATGGTTTACTCTTCTTTCTGAACAGCGACCGATGAGACGATGACTGTCGTATTGATGCCTCCGCGAAAATTGGGGAAGTTGATTTTGAGCAAACAACCAAGAATTGATCGTTCAATCTTCAACTCCATTGACACTCCCCGGCAAAAAAGGGATCCAACCCTTTTTTCCTTCACGATCAATGCACGTTGACTTGGATGCCATTGCGAGAACCTGGGTCACACGGACAGAGCTGAAATGGAAAACAAACAGAAAAGCCAACACACCACAAGCATACCCACAGCACAATCTCACACATCAATGACGACCTGCGCCTCCAGACAGAGACCTCCTCTTGACATCTTGCAACACAATCGCCACTTACTAGAATGACTCTTGCAGAATGCAACGTGACCATAGCAGCACCTCATGATACTCTTCAAGCATCCTCTTTTCTATTCACTATCAATTACCACTGAAATCGCTTGTCACTCATTCTGCCTCAGTTCTAGTAGCGGTGACGCATGCGAGCCTCAGTCGTTTACACTCTTTCTCCCCGGCGTGTCGGACCGCAGCTAACAATTATCTCCGTGTGCGTTTCATTCTCAGCAATAGCCTAGCCTCCCCGGCGTATACGACCCATCTGCTGTCTCTAACATCAATCAATTCATTCATGGATGTAGAAGACAAGAAACAACTTCAGAAGTAATCACGACGAAAATTTTAACAAAATTATGCAATAAAAACAAGGCACGAAAACAACGAGTAAACACAACTGATCCAAAATCACAAATTGCGAAGACACACCACACGTATACACAAACAGTACAAATAACCTCGCGGATCATGTCTTGGTGGAATTATTTTGAAGAATTGGAGGACTTACACCAGTACGCCTACAACCCTTCTCAGGTTGACGATTGTAAGTTGTGGAATGTCCAGACACAAACAAGATTAACCAACAATTACATCAATTGGAACTCACACAACTATTTAACACAAACATATGTACAATCAACACATCAAATGTTGTGGATTCTGACACGACAAACTACCCTTGAAGAACTGTAGGACTTACAGCAGTACGCCTACATTCCTTCTCAGGTTGATGATCCAAGTGGAAGTCGTCCGGACACAAACAGAATTACCAACAGCTAGATGACAGATGATATCAATTCAGTATATACAATATGAACATATGTACAAGATCATACACCAAGCACATTGGACTGCTCATTGATGCGCTACCCTTTGAAGAACTGTAGGACTTACACCAGTACGCCTACAACCCTTCTCAGGTTGACGCCCTAGGTTGGAAAATCGTCGCAGAGTTCATTTGCTAACTTCCTTCTATCAGCTATATCCTCAAATCTGAACGGCAACACGCCCATGTCATTGTATCGTAGAATATAGATGACCAACAAACACACGACATATCTCATCAACCAAGTATAGAAACAGAGTAATTTACACCAAAGATAATAACATTCAAATAGTAACTTGAAACTAGAAATGCCTTTATTCGTGCAAGTCAATTTAACAATTACTCTCTCCTTTACACTTGGCTTATCCACACTAAACTGACCATTGATATTCGTCCTTTCAAACGAACTGATACTAGCATAGTCATTGCACAAGATACTTGAGTTGATGGGTGTCTGTTTCATTGTGGATGACAGCACCAACGATGACTGAGTGACACAAGGTGATGAACTTAGTGGTGGATCAGAAGCTGTTCTTGTTCGGCTCTCAGATAGTTGTCCAACTGCAAGATTACCACCACTGCTGTCTTTCACTACTAGTTCGGGTTTAGCACTATCATCTGATGATAGGTGGGCTACACGCTGATCAATTACACTGACTGTCTCACAAGTATGCACACCTTCTGGAACTGCATCTGCGTTCAATTCTACTTCACGTTGTAGTTGTACAGAACCTTTATTTAACTTAGCAGTAGTAGGCATATCCCTCATCTCATAATGATCAACCAAAGACAACTGTGAAGTATCATGATCATTATCACGAATATTCACTTTACCGTCAACTTCATCATTTTCAAACTCTTTAATAACAGAAGTAGACAATTTTGGTTCCTCCTCGCAAATCATAAAAGGTTTTATAACTTCACTCTGACTAGTAATACCTTGTAAACTTGTAGGGTCAGAACTGCACTCTGAAGCAGCAACTCTATTCTGTGACACTCTATTCAACAATGGCTTACCAGTTGCAACTACAGACTTCTTCACCGCACCGTTATCGTCACACAATTCGGAGTCAGACCTGGAGTTTACATTTAGCTTATCACTGAACTTGCTCGTTGATTCACAGTTCACTTCTGTATGCACCTCTTGCACACGTGTACAACAAAACCGTGTTTGTCTTGCATCTTGTAACTTATCTGTTGAGGATGTACTACGAAACCTGTTACACTCACTAGGTCTATATGCATTACTAGACATCATGGAGCTTTCTCGATATCCACCTCTCTGAGGCCTACTCGTCATCAATGATTGCATTTTGCTCTCAGACTGCTCTATTCTAGGGGTGAGATGTAATAGACTGGCGAACTTGCTCATAGATTGATTGACACTATCTTTTACCAGTTTCAGGATATCATCAAACTTTGGCTCGATACCCTCATCCTCCATACGGGAGCTTATCTTCACCCACTTCCTTTGCAGTCGAGTAGGTAGACGTCTTGCTATTACTTCTAGTATAAAACTCGAGTTGAGGTCACTCATGCGATTCATCGAAATCATTCCATTCTTGTAAATTAGCAAATTATCTAAAAACTCAGTGAGTGCCTGGGAGTCATCCTGTAATTGACCACCATTACCCTTAACAGCCTCGAATAATTTCCCTGCAATCATCGAAGGTCTTCCAAACCTTTGACGTAATATGCTCATAGCCTCATCGTAGCCCTCTTTTGGCTTCATAAACTTACAGCACTGTATAGCTCTTGCAGCATCTCCAGTGCAATATCTCATCAAATACATTAACTTCAATTCATCATTTAATAGAAAACCACTCAACATGATCTCAAACTCCTTTACAAATTGTAAATAATCAGCCGGGTTTCCATCAAAACACCGTGGTTCAAATTTAGGGAGTTTGATGTTCCTATTATCCCTGAACGGCGAAACAGTAACATCAACCATGTCATGCTTAACATCAGACACATCGTTACAATTAACAGACAAGTCACCATGACTTACTTTCCTGTTTGCATCCAAGACACTCTGTCCCTTCTTTGACCCAGGCATTGTTGAACTTGACCCAATTCCAAAAAGTTCCAGATATTGCTTGTTCAAAGAGGACTTGACCGGCACCAGGAAAAATGAACGGCGACTATCCAAACTTTCACCAACTGTTTCAATCCGCCAGATCTGTTTCTATCGTCAGAAACTGTCAATCACGTCTCATAAACCGTTAATGCCCAGCTCTCGCTACGCTCGGGCCCACGCTGTTCTTGGAGTTTCAGAAACGCTTAGTTATAACGGACGCAAAAACCAAAACACCGATCTGCCGCTTGTTATTTCTTTATTGTTACACCAACATATAAAAGGAATAAGCGAACTAAGGTCTGAAAACAAATATTACAATAATAAATCGTTATATTACTTCTGACGATGTTTCACTCTTCTTTCTGAACAGCGACCGATGAGACGATGACTGTCGTATTGATGCCTCCGCGAAAATTGGGGAAGTTGATTTTAAGCAAACAACCAAGAATTGATCGTTCAATCTTCAACTCCATTGACAGGAGGAGATGAGAGATTATGGGCAGTCGTGGACCCATTCGAAGAGAACGGTAGAAGATATTACAATGTGGAGATGTGTTGTTGAAGCCCAATGTTCCACTCGAAACGCAAGGGAATGATAAAATAAATATATGATCGAACTGGACGTGTTTGCTAAGAATGCTCCCACCCAGGTTTTAAAAGCTGTCGCGAATACCATCCTGCCTATCTATCAGAATCCAGAGGAACTGTTAAGTATCTGTATTGATCTACCAGACCCTACAACTGGCGAGGCTTGGAAACAAAGTTATCGGCTGATATGCACCCACATGATGTGTGTGCGTGCGTGCCTTTACGTGCAAAGGCGGAAAGAAAAGAGGGATTATCTGTTGCTGGGCGACCAGTATTTAAGACCATTCCCAAGAGTCAAAGTTCCGATAGCGGTAATATTAGAAGGTAGTCATGTAAACTGGTATAACCCACTGAGACATCAGTCTTATAGGTTATAATACAGAAACTTAGACTATGTACATTGTAAAAGTAATCGCGAAAATTACACAGGTCTTATAATAGAAAAGTATATAAGACCTACAAAGGAGTGGATATGTTCGCAACAGCAAATATGGGAGTCGAGTCTGAGGTCATAATTTTCCCGACTACTTAAAAAAGAATGTTGTTTTTTGGGGATTCCAACTGCTCAATCTCCTCCAGAGTTTTGGCTTCGATCACACTGAAGTTTGAGTCAGACCCCTCAACCAGAATCTACCGCCAGTTGGGTACTATTTCTGTGGTCATTAGTTGTGAAACAGATTCCAAAGTCAGTCAGTTCTCAGTCTATGGATATGCATAGCTCCATCTCACCTTTTGGACCTCTTCCAGGCTCCATGACTTACCGATGGCTGAAAGCAATGGCTAACGCTGTATCCGCAAGCGCTCGTATTAATCAACTTCAGCATCCGGATATACCTCTGAACTCAGCTTCTGACGTCAACTCAACTTCACAAGGCTTTCTTCATCAGGTTCGGAATGGTACAAGGGACCCAGCTGCTCATTCTAGACCACAACTCTATTCCCCAGTTTTATATCCTGGTATGAAGGTATAACCAGAACTCTGTGTTCGTAAATTCGTCTACCCAACAAGAAACTAATCGTCAGTCTGTCAATATGAATTTGAGACAGTATTTAAACAATATTGAAACAGACCCGTTGAATAATTCTCCGGCTTCTTTGTCCAGTCATAGACAGAATTATGGGAATTCATTTCCACTTTACGCTCCCACTACAACACTAGCATTCTCCATTCCTTTTAATCATCACTTGCAGCAGCAAGCTAAAGCCAACGATTCTCCAGCGAATAGTGGCAGTCTAAGTTTACTTTCTCAGCTATTGGAAGTGGAAAAACTCAAGCAACCATCTGGTGTTGACTCAAACTTCAGTGTGATCAAAGCCAAAACTCTGGAGGAGATTGAGCAGTTGGAATCCCCAAAAAACAACATTCTTTTTTAAGTAGTCGGGAAAATTATGACCTCAGACTCGACTCCCATATTTGCTGTTGCGAACATATCCACTCCTTTGTAGGTCTTATATACTTTTCTATTATAAGACCTGTGTAATTTTCGCGATTACTTTTACAATGTACATAGTCTAAGTTTCTGTATTATAACCTATAAGACTGATGTCTTAGTGGGTCATGATACAGAAACTTAAACGTAATGTAATGCCATGTGACAACAAGGTTAGACATGTTTGTTTAGTTAGTGTACAGACAAAAACATGTTGTCAATTATAATGGAATATCGATCCATATATACATAGCAAAATATAATTGACTGTCAACAACAAAACGCACACATCATGTGGGTACATATCATCGGCGTAACGCATTCAATACGGTGTATGACTCATCTCAGTCAGGTATGTGAACTACCGTCAAGCTCGTTACTAATCGGTTTTGTTGTCCTAGTATTAATAAGGAAGTAAGGGAATGGGCTAATGCGTGCTTAGCTTACCAAAATACAAAACAGAAAGGCACACCAGAAGCCGCCTTGGCACCTATCTTATAGCTGGCGCTCGTTTCGAACACGTTCATGTAGATTTCGTTGGACCTCTTCCAGAATCTCATTGATAATCCCATATCTTATCCTGCATTGACCTTTTCACATGACAGCTCGAAGCGACACCTCTCAAGGATGTATCTTCTGAAACATTCAAACATTTTCATCGAAATTATGGATCTGAAGTTTTGCATGCCCATCCCCAATAGCAAGTGATCTCGGGCGTCAATTCGAAAGCGACTTGTCCTATTCCTTGGCTAGAATTCCTAGTTGCATGCGTATCAGAACAACAGCTTACCATCCTCAAGCTAATGGTATGGTAAAATGCTTACAACGAGGGTTGAAGGCTAGCTTATCGGCTGCAAATAATGCATATTGGACTGAATCAGTACCTTTAGTTCTTTCAGGCATACGAAATGTCTTGAAAACTGATGTTGGTTGCACTGCCGCAGAGCTATTATAAGGCACAACACTGCGACTGCCAGGTGAGTTTGTTTCGCCCTCTAGCTTCCCACTGGCGTTAGATCATGCATCATACGTCAGAAGGCTTACAAACGCCATGCGTTCAGCTAAACCTGCTCCCCTCCGACGGCAGTCCATAGACGTCTTTGTACACCCGTGTTTGACAACTTCTTCAAATTTATTTGTTCGTCGTGACTCTGTACGTCTCCCTCTGGAACCCCCATTCGGTTGACCCCATGAAATCATTAGACGTATGGGTAGATTTTTTGTCCTAGACAAAAAAGGCCGCAAAGACTTTGATAGCACTGACTGTCTGATACCGGTCTACTTAGAAGGCAATCCCATGAGCCTAGAAATAAGTTTTCTTCAATAATACACAAGTAACCGAATATCTGTTGGTCCTAGAGGAAATCATTAGCACGGCAAAAGCCACCCAATCTTCTATCTAGCCACCCTAGAAAACGCATCCTGAACAAAACGCGAGATTCACAGAACATCTCCACACTAATGTTACAAATGATGCGATTCACAAAAGTTTTACTCGCTTGTGGTGTTTCCTCTAAGACGCATCAATTTTTTATTGCATCTCGCAACACAAGTAAAAAGTTTATCCTATAACCGCACATGTTACATCCACTGAAAAGGATTACATGTTTTTTCGATGTTTTGTTTTCGGCAAAACTTTCCCGCATGGTAGATGCATACCATTATTCAAACGTTATATCTGGTACATTTTCATCGAAAAACTTCTCAGCATTCTTATTTCTTTCCCCAGATGTGACAGACACTGGACAAGAAGCAAACAAAGCACGAGATCCAATGCACAAACGTACACGAATCGATGTACATACACCCGATTAACATAAGTAGAGGACCAGTAGGCAATCCGTCATGCCGACCGGAACAGTTTTATTGGTACTAACACCATTGTGTCCTTCCTTCCAGCTGGTTTCGACTTAGGATATTCGTAACCCCACTAAGGAGGAAGTGAACTGCAGTGGAAGGTAATTCTCCAGAATCACTGGCCACAGCATTCATCACTGGACATTGGATGCTGACCCTCACTTTTCTAGTCAATTTGTTTAGCTGAAGGCTTTGGGTTAACCATCCAGCCCATTCGGCACGCCGTCGTGTTGCGTTCGTTCGTGCACCTAGCTAGTTAGGTGATCATCTCGCACTCCAATTTGGTCCCAAAATATAATTCATAATCTTGCCGACCAATTCTGGTGTTTCTCTTATCCTTTGATCTACGGGGAACGAGTACTGTAGAAGTTGTGGGTGTTAGATCTTACGAAAGTATACTTCGAATTACCCGTGGACATCAACACTCTCGGCCTGTAAATACCCAACAGACTAGACTCATTATCCTGGTTACTAACTAGTGTGCAATCAAAGGATCCATTTTAATACTGAAAATCACTGGCGAATCCGTGTAGTTCAGTGGTAACATCTTGGATCGCAGCATCATGCATTATCTATGTTAAATCTGACTGCAGAACTGTGCACTATGATGACCATAACCTGAATATATGCGATACATTATGGATGACGCTCAGCATAAATAAACAGCAAACCCTATTATTAGGTCGCATCTATCGCCCACCCAACCACGACAGTGAACTTCTAAGCCGGATAACTGCAGTCTTCCATTACACTTCAAAATTAATCTTTACTTATAAAGTGATTGAAGGTGATTTTAACATGCCTGAAGTTTCATGGGAGCCCATCATCGCTCCTCCCCGCTACAGCAAATTCTTAGATGCAAATAAGTTATGTGGGTGGACACGAAGTATTCTAAAGCCCACCCGAAACCATAATATACTGGACTTGGTTTTCTTGAAAGACATCGTCTTATCTACCATAGGCATCAACCAACCATTTCCTGGTAGTGACCACAACACAGTAATCTGCGCCCTCGATACCAAGCTCCACTCATCAAAATGCTCTACCCTGCGGAAGACATTCATGTGCTTCGGAAAAGCCAGGTGGGACATATCTAACTCCTTCATAAGAAGCGTACACTGAGACTTTTTCTTTTCTAATGGCAACCTAGACACTATCCTACTAGCATTTTACCAGAATGTATCCATTTGCTTCGATAAACAAGTTCCTGAATATAGAGATAACCCAGGAGAAAACATAAAGAATTTTCTATAAAAGTGACGGCTAAGCTGCGAAAGCTGTACCCGCAGCACCACAGAGAAAACGACTTCTCATGTCCTCTAAATGTACAGAACATTTATCTCGCTTTGAAAGAAAAAACGACAAAGTTCTACTCAGGCAAGAAAATGCAGCGCTTAAAGATAGCTCTAAATACGCTACAATCTGTAGGACTTATCTCAAAAGGCTAAACTACCGTAAAACGGATATACAATTCATTTTAGAAAATGGTGAAACTGCTAGTGACCCTAAAATAATTTGTGAGCTTCTAAACTCCTATTTCTCACAGTCGTATACCTGTGATGATAATACGTTGCAACAACCTCTATTCCCTGTACGTCGAACATCGAATGACCTTGGCGGCCTGTTTGAACATTTTGGGCTACCACATTCCATGTACATTTTGCATCTATTTACTCGTATTTTATTGGTATTTAAATATCACAATATGAATCCTAATCGTATTATCCACTCCCGGGATTTCATAAAACGTTTTAAACCCAAAAACTTTCATATTTGCAATAAACTCAAGAAAAAGCACCACGGAGGTTGGCAGCGTGCCTTAAAATTTACACCTATACATCACACCACTGTTCCAGTTATCATGAGCACCAACTGCCGGTCCCTTCCTGACAAAATTCTGGATTTTCAGTCCCTGTTGTTGTCAGGAATCTACCACAATACTGGTATTGTCACTCTACTAGAAACCTGGCTCCATGACTTATATGATGACAATATTTTGTCTTTAAACAATTTTAATGTATTCCGACAAGACCGTGTTTGTTTCAAGAAAAAATGTGGCAGAGGTGTGGCAACTTTTATTCACTCAAAATGGTCCATTTCTAACAAAGTTTGTTTCAAATTCTCGAATGACTACATTGATTGCATCACAGTGAGGTGTCGCCCGAAACACATGTCAAAATACAAATTCATTTATATATCTAATGTTTATGTCTCTCCCACCTGTACCATATCGGATTTATCTATGTTTGCTGATGAATTCACCGCTTTTGCTGCAGCTTGCTTCGAGAACTCTTTATCCATAGTATCTGGTGACTTTAATGCATGCGACCACTCCTTCTTTATATCATTTGGTCATGACAATATTGTTAAATTTGCTACTCGTCTTGGTAAAATACTGGATCTAGTATTTATCAATGATGCTTATAAATGTTCATAAACAAGCTCAGATGCATGTTGAAAGACACTAACTGGGACCTATTTACAGAACAAACACTACTGATTATCTAAAATTCTGTTTCGAAATATGTTGTCCTGAAGAAAAATTATTCATTCGATTTGATCGCTTCTCTTCGCCATATCCCAAAAAGCTACGAAGAGATAAATGACTGAGGTTCAAAACAAATGATAAAACTGGTGTAAAAAAGTTAAATATTCTGATAAAACTCGAAATGAAAATTTTTTTTTTATTTTTGATTTACAGCTTGATTCCACACTGTATTTTCGGTACAAGTATGGAATTTTCAGCATGGATATCGGTAGCCCAAATTTTGCAGGCCGACCATAGATATCAGGTGTGCGCCGGCGTGGGCTCGAACCCCGGACCATGTGCATGGTCGGCGAGAGTCCTAACCACTGTGCCACCGACGCAGACTAAATGTTCTATGTAATCAAAGATTCTTGTCATGCAAAACCCCTTCTAATTTGTGGAAACCTTTCAGAGAAATTACTAACGGTAAGCGATGTACTTCTGTCCCATCTCTTAATGTAGACACTCTTAATAAATCTTTCATACGCCCTTCTGTTGATATCCTTCCTAATGATACAAATCATACTGGCAATAATTTTAGTGGTTTTAATCTCCTTGAC